GTTAGATTCCACATATAAGGGAAATTATACAATTTTTGTCTTTCTTTGGCTTTACTTAGCATGGTGTCTTCTAGGTTCATACATGTTGTTGCAAGTGAAAGGATTTCTTTTTTTTCTTTCATGTATTATTATTATTATTATTATTATTATTATTTGTACTGGGAATTGAACCCAGTGGCGCTTAACTACTGAGCCACATTCCCAGCCCTTTTTAATATTTTTTATTTAGAGACAAGTTCTTGCTGAGTTGTGTAGGGTCTTTGCTAAGTTGCCAAGTTTGGCTTTGAATTTGCGATTCTCCTGCCTTAGACTCCTGAGCCATTGGGATGGATTACAGGGGTGTGTCACAGCTTCTAGCTTGCTTCTTTTTAAAAGCTAAACATTCTAGGGCTGGGGATGTGGCTCAAGCAGTAGCGCGCCCACCTGGCATGCGTGGGGCTCTGAGTTCAATCCTCAGCACCACATAAAAATAAAATAAAGATGTTGTGTCCACTGAAAACTAAAAACTAAATATTAAAAAATAAAATAAAAAATAAAAGCTAAACATTCTATTTTATATATGCAAATATGCTACATTTTATTTACCTATTCATCTGTCAAGGGACATACTTTGGCTATTTTGCGTATTGCTAAAATGAACATAGAAGTACAGCTTTCTCTTTTTTTAAAAAAAAATATTTATTCTAATTTGTTATACATATTGGCAGAATGCAATTCATTTCATACTACACATATAGAACACAATTTTTCAACTCACTGATTGTACACAAAGTATTTTCATACCATTCATGTCTTCATACATGTACTTAGGGTAATGATGTCTAACTCATTCCACCATCATTTCTACCCCCTTGCCCCCTCCTATCCCCTCCCTCCCCTTTGCCCTATCTAAAGTTCTGCAGCTTTCTCTTTCAGGTAGTGATTTTACTTCCTTGGTAAAAGAAGGGGTTTGCTGGAACATACATTAGTTGACCATATATGCATGGGTTTACTTCTGGGCTTTCTCTTTCCATTGGCCCAAGTTTCTATCTTTATACCATCACCACACTGTTTTGATTGGTATAGCTTTGTAAAATAATTTGAAATCAGGAAGTGTGATGCCTCTGGTTTTGTTCTTGTTCAAAATTACTTTGGTGGGTGGGTACATTTGGGGTTGAGGCCACAGGTCCCAGAAGGTCACAACTTTCCTACTCTTCAGCTGGCAGAGGTGGAGAGATCAGGCTTGCAGGGGCTTTAGCCTCTGATGTCTAGAAATGGCGATGAGGGTCAGGATGGAGGGCATTTCCTTGGACATTATCCAATTGAAGATGATCTACTTCTTCATGTCTATCTTCTACCACATCACTTGTTACAAGCTCATTTTAGACACAGATTCCATTCTCTTTTAATAGTCATCATAGCAAATCTCTTGTTTATCCATGCTGTGTTTGTTGTCTAGCAATTTTTTTGTTTTTAGAATTTTTGACCTGTGTGCTTTGTTTTTACTCTAATTAAATGAGGACAAGTGTCTAGGAACTATACCAACCCATTTAAAGTTCAGTCATAATCCTGGGAAAAGTTATTTTGCGGATTTCACATTTACTTCTTGAATGCAACATTCAGTATCATCACCATAAGGTCTTAAAAGACTTGTCCTAATGGTGTATTCAACCAGCAACACAATAATTCTCCTCATACTGTACATGCAGCATTCTTTTCCTGAGCCTCATAAATTGTACTTTGACCTCAGTCAGGCCATCCTGGCCCTGGAACTAAGCTCTGTTCCCTGACCTGTCTGCTCATTTGTGCAGTGAAAATGAGAAAATTTAAGGAAGTCAAACAAGAGCTGATGTACTTGAAGAAGGAAAAAAAACTATCCTTACCACAGCAACATTACTTTGGAAACTGGTATCAGGATTATTTCAAGCCTAGAAGAAATTGTTGAAAAGCAAGGAGATATAGTAGTGTACCTGAAGCAATACAATGCAGAGTTGTGTTAGTGATGAGTGGCGCTCATGTTCTCAGACCTGGCCTCTTAGCCAAATAGAACATGAGAGTCTCACAGTCATGACAATTTTTCTTTAATTTTTAAATTTGTTCTAATTAGGGCTGGGGTCGTGGCCCAGTGGTAGAGTGCGCGCCTAACATGCATGAAGCACTGGGTTCGATCCTCACCATCACATAAAAATAAAGATATTGTGTTCACCTAAAACCAAAAAAACAAAAATTTGTTCTTATTAGTTATACATGACAATAAAATGTACTTTGATTCATTGTGCACAAATGGAGCACAACTTTTCATTTCTCTGGTTGTACCCAATGTAGCATCATACCATTTGTGCAATCATACATGTACCTAGGGTAATGATGATTGTCTCATTCCACCATCTTTCCTACCCCCAAGCCCCCTTCCCTCCCCTCACACCCCTCTGTCCAATCCAAAGTTCCTCTATTTGTCCCCTGTCCCCACCACTCAAGTGTGGATCAGCATCCATATATCAGAGAAAACGTTTGGCCTTTGTTTTCTTTTTTGGAATTGGCTTGTTTTGCTTGGCATGATGTTCTCCAACTCCATCCTTTTACCTGCAAATGCCATAATTTTATTCTCTTTTAATGTTGGGGAATATTCCATTGTGTATATATACTATAGTTTCTTTGTCCATTCATCTATTGAAGGGCATCTAGGTCGGTTCCACAGTTTAGCTATTGTGAATTGTGCTGCTATAAATATTGATGTGGCTGTGTTCCTATAGTATGCTGTTTTTTAAGTCATTTGGGTGTAGACCAAGGAGTGGGATCACTTGGTCAAATGGTGGTTCCATTCCAAGTTTAGGCATGACAATTTTTGAAGGGTCCAGAAAAACCTCAGACTGATTGATTGTCTGCCTGACACTCTGCTCCAGGGAACTTCAGCTCTTGCTGAATAACATACTATAGTGCATTTTGGTAACCTGAATTTGGGTCTCACTTGTGTGGCTGTTTAACAGATGAAGCTTGTGGATAATTTGAAAGATGCTTGGTAGAAGCCTTGATAACTTCATAAGAATGTCTGTTTTGTACATTTTGAAATAATTTAATTTCTTTCCCAGTGTGGTGGCAGATGCCTCTAATCCCAGTGGCTCAGGAGGCTGACGCAGGAGGATTGTACTTTCAAGACTAGCCTCAGCAACTTAGAGTGAACCCAAGCAATTTAGAGAGAACCTGTCTCAAAATAAATAAATAAATAAATAAAAATAAATAAATAATAAAATAAATAAATAAAAATAAAATAAAATTTAAAAAAATAAACAAATAAATAAATAAATAAATAGAACTGGGGATGTGGCTCGGTGGTTAAGGGCCCCTGAGTTCAATCCCTGGTACAAAAAAAAAAAAAAAAAAGAATTTAGCTGGGCCAGGTGGTGCACGTTTGTGATCCCAATAGCGTGGCTTCGGAGGCTGAGGCAGGAGGATTGTGAGTTCAAAGCCAGCCTCCTCAGCAAAAGTGAGGTGCTAAGCAACTCAGTGAAACCCTGTCTGTAAATAAAATACAAAATAGGGCAGGGATGTAGCTCAGTGGTTAAGAACCTCTAGATTCAATTACTGGCAGAAAACAATAACAACAACAACAACAAAAACATTACAAAGGAAAATTAGGAAATCCATTTGTAATATAGATTTTTAAGAATACTTTTTAATGCAAGGCAAGAAACTCACAAGTTCCTTTACAAAACAAACACCTTTGACTACATAAAAGGTAAATATTGTATATGGCAAAAAATAAAAATTTTATGGTGAGGTAATTAGCAATCTAGTGTTCACAAAACACATTTGATAACAGGCACTGTTAGCCCAAAAGAACAGGACAGGACGCAAACTTTACGGATCAGCACAGTTTTTTTTTTTTTTCCCAGGAATGGAGTGACCCTTTTCCTGGTGGAAAATGGGCAGCCAGCCGAAGCAGGAGTCTATACTTCTATTTATATCGAGGGATGAATTAATGACAGAGCTCCTCACTCAGGAATTTGAGATTTTGTTTTCATTGGGCAATGAAGGGTCTGGGGTCAGTGGCCAGCATCTGGAAAGGATTTATTTCGGAAGAAATCAATGCTTAAGTCTTTTTCCAGAGACTGTCAGTCTAGGTTTGATGGAGAACTTCTCCCCAGGGCTTGTTTTGTCACCAAGAAAGAACGATTGGGTAAGGATCAATATTATTAATGTATGGCTTTCTTTTTCACTCCTTTTTCCGAGTCCACACTATTTGGGGGTTTCACATTTTCCATATCTAATAGGCACGAACAAATCTTTGTAAAATATTTGTAAATTAGAGTTCTAAACAACTCTTTATTCCACAAAAGCCGCTCACTGAAAATCACAGCAAAACTGATGATCAGAAAACTTTTTACAATCACTTCTGAGTGTTTATCAGCGCTGTTTTACAAAACGCAGTGCGGAAGGCCCTGAATTTAAAAAAATCCGTCAAGTGGAAAGAGTAATGCATATTTGAAGAAGAAAAATTTCAAGCTTTACAAAAAGTGTCAGTACGCTGTAAACTCCAAGCAATCAACTATGAAGAGTTTAGCATGGTGTCCAGATAATAAAAAGAAATAAAGGCTGAAGGACTGGATTAATTGCGTGGAGGAGACCGACCATCTCACTGATTGGCAGGCGTAGAAACACAAAGGAAGTTCTAACTACGTGGATGGAGGCAGCTTTTGTGAGCGGCCTGTGGTTGGGCCCCCCCTCCCACCGTTCCCTCCTCCTCATTCCGTGCGTCTGGCAGGTCCAACCTCCAACTCCGCCCTGGGAATGCACCTCGCCCAGAATCCTGATTCTAACCACCAGCCGCGGCCTCGCCTGTTCTGGTCCCCAGCTTTAGGCTCAGAATTGACCTTAAGGGCTCTCCGCCCCCATGGGAAGAAGCTAGAATTTCTACGTTTCTCTGCCGCAGAGGGTCCTACGTGGCTGTGGTTCGACGCCGAACTCGGGGACTTCCGGGCCAGAACTTGGAAGCGGAAGTGATGTGAGATGTCTCTCCGTCTTTTCCGGTCTAGCTCTGCGCGGCCAAGTTCTTTTCTCCTTGGTGGTGGTGCACTTAACGGGGCCTTGGCGAGGTGGAGTAAGGGGACAGTCAGCCGCTGGAAGGGTCCAGGGAATGTTCGAGTTTATCCCGGGCCGTCGGGGAGCCTCTCAGAGAGGGCCGGCCCTTCCCGATCGCGTCCGCCGGGGTCGCGGGTCCTCCGGTTGCGGCCGGGTCTTACAGGCCGGTGGCCGTGGTTCGGAGGGTCCCGCCAGGCGCCGTTTCGACATAATTCTGAAGGGCGCGTCCTCGTTTCGAACATTGTGCGCTTTTCCTCAAAAGCCTTTAAAGTAATCTTTTGAAAAAAAATTTTTTTTTCCAGAAGGAAAAGAACTTCCGCTGTCGAGGGCAGCATAACATCCCCCTTCCGCGCGGACCTGGCGACCCCGGCGTGTTCCGGTGAGTGCTTGGTGTAAGTTGGCTCCACAGGACTTCTTTTGTCTTTCAATTGGGCTTTGTCTTTGTGTGGAGTATATTTTTGACACATTTAGGCAGGAAGATAAAGCTTCTTTTAAAGACGTCTAGGGTGCACCTGTTCTATAGGTAGCGGACCACAAACCATTCTGCCAAGGGACGGAAAGGATCTGTAGCCCATTCTCTTCATTTGAACTTTCTGCTCTGGGCTTCCCCACGGAGCTTCAAAACGGATCTGTAGGAAGGACGAGGTTTTATTGCACTAAAGTACTATCATATTTGAACTTATTTGCTTTCTTCCAGAAAATAGGAAGCAGGAGACAATGGATTAACTGATTAAGTCTCTAGAGAGAGAGAGAAAAGAGAATTGACAAGGACTTAACTACAGTTTTGGCACCAAAGTCATTTTCTACATTTGGGAAAATTAATATACAACTCAGTATATAACTGACAAGAAAACTGGTACCTATTGAAATGGTGTAATTTGAGATGAAATAAAGCATGACTTTTTTATAAGTAGGAAATTAATTCAAGGAATTCGCATCGGTGATACCATTGAGAAAAAAGTTCACTATGAAAATTCACTTGTTAATTATTTATATTTGGAAAGTCTGTGTCTATAAACAGTCAAAAGTCTCTTGAGTGTTTTTTAGTCAACCTTGGTGTTCTTACTCCTATCCAAACTTGTCCTTCATTTTCCTGAATGAATGTCTAGAGTTAATCACTCTTAATGTGACTCCTTAGAGACATTCACACTCCATAGGTAAGTGACCAGAAAACTCCCCTGCCAGTGTTGGTTGCCAGTAAGCACTGAAGGAGTTTTATGACTTTGCAATATCCGTGTTTTGTTTTCTTTAGAAAAATTTTTATTGGTGCATAATAATTATACAGAATAATGGGTTCCATTGTGGTGTATTTCATATATGAATATGACATAATTTGGTTCATTTCACTCCCAATACCTCCTTAATGTCCCCTCCATCCCTCTAATAACCATGATTTCATTTAGCCACAAAGGGGTCCCAGTGAGCTAAGTGGACATAGTTAAATAATTAATGAGGATTCTGAAGATAAGTTGGTGAGGGTATGCATGTTTATTGGAAAAGGACTTTCAAAAACTGTTAGGACTATATGCTAACTTTGTATGTACACATGCTCTGTCACACAGGGATGCATGTGCATGCATATCAAGATAAAAATAGTGGCTTTTTATTCCTGTATTATATGAAACAGCCCTAAATGGAAAAAGGCCAGCAGAATAATGGGTAAATTGTGGTATTCTTATACTATGGAAGACTGTTCCACAAATAGAAAGAACAAACCGAAGGTAGTTGCAAAAATGTGGGTGAATTTTGCAAAGTTTTGAGTGAAAAGAAGCTAGGCAACAAAACAATGTCTGTCTTTCTCCAAGACAGGGATTTAAAGCTCCTTAGATAACACACATGTATTTGTTCTCTATTGCTGCCTGACAATTGAAGAATAATGTGTAATATCTAGGCATATCCAGGAATCCAGGCATGGTGTAGGTAGATCCTCTATTTAAGATTTTACCTAGCTGCTATCAAGTCATTGGTTGGGTTACAGTTAGCTTAATTGGGAAAGCTTAATCAGGGAAGAATATTTGCATTCTCACTAGTAGGCAAAATTCATTTTCTTAGAACTATAGCACATAGTGGATGCTGTCATCTGGAGGGTGATCTTAGCTTCTAGAGGCTACCTGTGGTTCTTATTACGTGACTCCTCAGGAAAGGCCTATATTCTCTGTGCCAGTTGGTAGAGATCACTGAGGTCATAAGAAGGCATGTCAGCCATAGTATAGTTGTAACCTATTGGGTGGTGAAGTTTGCTGGGTTACTTATGTCCAGAGATGGTTATTACATAGATTAAGCAAGATTAAAACAATGCTAGCTGCTATTGGCGTTTTTGTATATTAGGGAATTGGGACACTTCTCCCTTGAACTCACAAGTTTCTTGCCTCAGTGTATTGAGTAGCTAAGATTACAGGTGCATACCTCTGCCCCTGACTGCATAGTTGCTCTCCTTGACATGTGTGGACAGCTGAACTTAAAGTCGCTCATGTGAATTTTCAGGGACACCAAATAAAACAGACACACTTTACCTTAAAACAAGCTTCAGGACGGCTTCTCCACTCTCGGCCTCAGGCTCCCCAAAAGGGAGAGCAACAGTAAGTCACGAGAGGCTGGTGAGAGAGAGCGAGCACGTTCGGAAGTGGGCTTTTATTGCAGGGACTCTTGTTCTTTAGAAAGTTCTATCCAAAAAAAGGCCAGAAGGGGCTGAGTTACAAGGGACAGTTGAGTGTAACTTAACCTCAGGGGGTGACACCTACATCTGAAGGACATGTCTTTTACTTCCTGATCTGGGACAACGCCCAAGTCACCATGAAATGTAGTGATTGGTCAGAGGCTCTTGCTTCAGGACTGGAGGGTCATTCATAGTGGCTTCCCACACAAAGTGTTTTCTTTTGGAGAGCTGTGATACATATCACAGGGAACCCTTCAAATGAGTTTGGTAGGCAGTGGGAGTTTGGATGCCACCTATCTGGTAGTGCCAGGCCCATCATGTGTCTGTCTATGGAGGGCCAAGGGGAATACTACTGGGGCACAAGCTTATTGTGTCTGATGTACAAAATAAGTTGGGTCAACATGCAGCATGCATCCAGAGTTGGGAAACAAGTCATCAACTATGTTAGCATATTTGCAGAGAGTACCTCTGCTAGTGGGATACCTTTGAGCACATGGGCTCCATAGTAGGAGGTCAGTAGGATGTTGGTAACTGGGTCAGGGGTTGATGGTCATCTAGGGAATGTGTTCTGGGCTCATGGCATGGGCATAGCACTTGGACACTGCTGACTACCATGCAGCAGTTATATCCAGAAGGTAAAGTTTCCTTCCTTTTGTGATGTCCATCCATTTACCCCTTACACATTCCTCTTATTTGGTCTTGTGGTATCTCTGGAGAATGGTCATAGTTATAGCCCTGTCTTTACTGGGAGAGTTGGGTTCTTTTGGTTGGTTAGTTGAGACACAAGGGAGGCAGCACAGTAAACATCTAATATAATAGAAGCATCTTAATTACTGTGAGAGAGGTGTTCCCTGGAGGACTTTTGGGAAGTTTGTAGATGCCATGACCATGGTGCTTAGTCAGCCAGAGGGGAGTGAGAGATGATGAGATCTGTGGGTGGGTCTCTGCCTTTTTGTTAAGTTCCTTGGGTCTCTTAAAAAAAGATGGGGTTTTAATGATCAAGGGTATCCAGGGTATCCAGAGCCAAGATGACTGCCTGGCATTTGCCCAGCTGTGTTGCTTCTTGGGTTTAGATTTTAATTAGGACCATCCTGGCTGAGGAATGGAAAGCAACAACTCTCCTTTAAAATGCATATATGATAGTCAGTAGTTCCTTTCCCCCATCCTACCCCCAGGGATTGAACCCATGGGCTCTTTACCACTGAGCTACAACCCTAGCCCTTTTTTATTTTGAGAGAGCTTGTTGCTAAGTTACTGAGGATCTCATTAAGTTGCTCAGACTGAACTTGAATTTGTGGTCCTCCTGCTTCTGCCTCCTGAGTTGTTGGGCTAACGGGCATGTGCTACTGCACCTAGCTAGTAGTGCCCTTTTGTAATGAAGTCTCTGAATTCCAGTTACTTTTCACTCAGTTGATCCCAAGGGGCTTTTCAGATTATCAGTGAGTCTGGAGGAGGAGTCACCTCCTCTAGCACCCTTGCCTCAGGCAAGGGACTGAAGTCAGAGGAAACCCTCTTCTCCTATAGGTAGAGTATACCAGAAGATTTAATTTTGGTTCTACCCTGTCTTAAGGAGGCCTAAGTAGCAGTATGAAGCTCTGTCCTGTTTCTGTGACCTTTGGGTATTATAGGGTCACAGGCTCAGGATATATTAGAGTATTTATTTCCAGGAGATACCAGTTGGTGGCCAGTCATTTGTTTTGATGGCAATACCATGAAGCTGAGAGGGGCAATTTCTTGCATTAGAAGCCTTGGAAGAACTAACAGTCTTTATTTCAGATTAAGAAGAAGAAACAATTGTATTGAATGGAAGAGCAATGGAGGTAATCACCCTCTCACAAACTGTGTATTATGCAAATTTTAATCATTGAAGCCCTATTTTTTTAAGATGGACACAATATCTGTATTTATTTATTTTTTAATCTTTTAAAATATATATTTACTTTAGTTGGAAATGGACCTTTATTTTATTTATTTATATGTGGTGCTGAAACTCAAACCCAGGGTCTCACACATGCTAGGCAAGCGCTCGACCACCGAGCCTTAACCCCCTATTTTATTTACTTTTATGTGGTGCTAAGGATCGAACCCAGTCCCTCACATATGTGAGGGATGCACTCTACCACTGTCCTATAACCTCAGCCTCCTCTATAACTTAAAACATTGAGTTGTATTAACTATTTTATCTGGGTATCGAGGGGTCTCATTTTATTAATCAAATCTGTGTCAAAGTCTTACTTCTTAGTTTGTGATTATTTCTTGTATTAGAGGGTTTATTCTCAATATGAAACATTTGGTCCTATGACTGGAAAATTTAAGCAAGGCTCAAGTTAAAGTTAGGGATGCCTAATTTTTCCTCCATATTTACTCTAGTTTTAAAGGGTATAATACTTAAAGTTAGTGGGAACCCCAGGTATAACCATAATTTGACCTCTAGATTTAGTAATCCATATAATTATTTTAATTGGTGCACTTTAGCAAATGTTAAACTTAAATGTTTAATTAACCCCCCCCGCCCCCATCTTGTGTTTTTTTTCCTTAAATCACTAATCTTCCATTGGTTAGTCCTGGCATTTGGTATTTACTCAGTATTAAATGTTTAAAGTTTTCCCTCTATTTTTCCTTCCTTTCTGTTTTTTTGACTGGTGCTGCCTAAAGCCCAAGGCTTTTATAACTTTTTTGTTTTAAGTATTTGAGCTGTCTGAAATGGTGGTTCTTGGTTTCTGTCTGTTGTTGATAAGAGGAAGAAAGAGGGTGGTGGTCACAGAACCTAGTGCTTTGGTTCAGTTGTCCCTCTGGGATAGTCAGACCTTAAGACAATCAGTCCTTCTACTCTTTTTTTTTTCTCTCTCTTTTATTTTATATATTTTTTTCTTTTTAAATAAAATCTTTGGAAGACTTGAATCATAAAGATCAATAAATCTTTAATTACCTAAAAGATTTAATCCCCTTTGTTTTTACCTGACAAACTCCTGGGTACTTCAAATGGCCCAGGATCAACGGTCTCCATTAGTTGTTTCTGTTACCCCGTTTGTAGGCTCTCACCTTTCTTTCTAGTGTGTCCCTCTAGACCTCTGTAAGGTGTTAGGGGTGTAGAGCAAGAGGTATAAAGGACATAGGGTTCGCAAATCCCAGTGGACCATTGCTAGTGAGGTGCTATCGTCTCCCTTGTAAAGGGGGTGCCTCATCAGGCTGGGAGGTATAGTCACCTTCATAGAATATTCCATCCCCAGTGCAGTGGGCAGTTAGAATGCCAGTCTCCCTCTAGCACTCTGCTGGCTCTCATATTTACCCACTGCCTACCTTCCCCTTCTGCTTCTCAGTGACAAGTCAATCAACCAAATAAGGCCTTCAGAATATAGTTGGTTTCACTCTGACCACTACTAGGAGTGGCTGTTGACTGTGGTTGCCCCTCTTGTCCTATTATGGCTAGCAGTTGTTCCCAAAGGTCCCTTAGACTGTCTGACTCCTTCCAAATTAGGGAGGGGAGTTTTGGCATTATTCAGTAGAGAAAAACAGCAATACACAGCAGTGCAGGCATAACTCAGTGAGCCATGGAGCCTTACAAAATGGTATTAGCTTCATGGGAGAGTCATGTGGTAAGGCAAGAGAAGTCTATTTTTGTGTCCCTCATGGGTGTGACCATACTCAATTTGCTACGTCTTGCTGTATTTTTCTATTTGGGTCTGAAGGTCTCTCCCTGCAGAGTGGCTATAAATTCTAGCCCTATCCAGAACAGGAGACTTACATCATGGTCAAGTGAGATATAATATAGGAGACAGCAGAAAAAACACATGAAATAGCAGAAACATTTATGGGGCTGTAGCTCGGGCAGAGCGCTTGCCTAGCATGTGTGAGGCAATGGGTTTGATCCTTAGCACCACATAAAAATATATAAATAAAGTCATTCTGTCTGAGTATAACTACAGGGAAAAAAAATTAAAAACAAAAAGCTGCCCCTAAGAGCCTTGGAGAAGTACAGAAACAATAGAGTTCTCAATAGTGGGGTAGGGATTGAGAGAGAAAGGACATTTGGAACTCTGCTTTATTAAGGTCTGTGGGCATTGTCCTTCAGACTTTCCCGCTGAGGTTGTGGATTGACTAATGTAGAGAAAATACCATTTGAAGATTGACTTTCTTAAGTCACTCTGGTGTTAGCAGCTTGATGTGTTGCTTTTTTCATCAGTTGAAGGAAGAGACCATGTAGTCAATGACAACACAGGGGAGAAGCTTTAACTAGGCCAAAGGTGGCAGGAATGATTGGGGAACGCCTTCACCATACAAGGGGATGGTCTACTGCTGAACCATATCCCAGCCCTTTTTTATTTGAGACAGGGTCTTACGCCTCAATTTTGTGATCCTTCTGCATAAGCTTCCTGAGTAGTTCAGATTATAGATGTGTGCCGTCATGCCCAGCATGACTAGATTTCAGATAGCTTATCTGAAGATATAAAGGGATGCTAAGGTAGCGAGTAGATGAAGTTTATGATACCCTTTATATTCAAGCATAACATCTGTTATTGTACATATGAAAATATGGTCTTTTATTCCATAGCAGGTATTGAAAATGAAATTGGAGCTGAGATAAATTGATGAGCACAGTCCATTCTTTGGCTATTTACCATCCATTCTGCACACATTGGATAGTCCTCAAAATAATTAAACAGGTATCATATTTCTGCTTAAGAAGATAAAAAGGAAAAAAAAAAAACTCAATTCTTCTCCAAAGAGTGAAAAATGCATAGTCCTATAGTCATTGTGTCTACCCCCCAAACCATGTTAATTACTCCTCAAATTTACTTCCTCACTGAATATTCTGATAACTGAAGATAATATTATAAACTTAATCTCTCATGTATATAAAATTAGGAAAAAGAATGGTTATTTTTTTCTTTTGCTCATTTTTATTTTTTCTTTGACATTTTTTATTGATGCTCTATAGTCATACATAATGATGAGATTTGTTACATATTTTATACATGTATACAATATAGCAATTATTAATTTGTTAGTAAAGACATACCTAGGACAAGGAAAGAAAAAAACACAAAACTGTAATTGGTCTCAAGACTGTAGTTTATAGTTCATTTCATTTATGACCATATTTATATTTCCTGTTATGCTGTCATGAGTCAGAATTTCAACTGCTCTGTGTACCTGGTGGAGTCACTCAAAACCTTATTCCCCAAGAGTCCATGTCCTCCCTTATCCTGCCTTTTTCAGTTGTAATTTTCTATCAGCTTATTCTATGCAGTTTAGAAGTCCTTGTGGTTTGTACACTTCCACCTTGTTCCAGTTGTGTGGTAGTGCTACATTTTCCCTTTGGTATTTGAGATTAATTAATTCTGCCAATAGATTACTCCCCCCACCCATTATCTGTTTTTAAACTTGTTTGTTTCTTGGTTTATTGCCATATGAAGCCCAAAATGGCCAGGTGTCAATCTCAACCTCCAGTGTACTAAGATGTAATTGTGTTTCCTTGGGAAGCATTCCTAACTAAGATCTTCAGACCTGAAGCATTTGTAAATTGCTGGAATTGGAAGCAAAAATAGTTTAAGGAACAATTCCACTTTTACCATCAATTCCTGGTCCAGGGCATTTTGTCTGTGGGAAACAGTACCATGTGAAACTCTGATTCAAAGCATATAACCTGTTCTGTGAGATGGAATCCCTTCTGTTAGAGTAGTCTCTTCCATTTGGCCCTGTAAGTGAATGTTCAATAAGCCATTCTACCTTTCATTCAGATAAACTATTTATGAGTGACAGTGTATGATAAAACCACTTGATGGCATGAACATGGCAGTGAAAAGAGTTTTTTGATGAGAAAGAAGGCTGTGAATGCCAAGGTTATAGGTAAAGCATTTGAGTGTGCAGGTGGGTTCTAGCAGAAATATAACCAGTAGAAAAGCAGAGCCACATCTAGAACTTTATTCTGGTGAGGAAGAATCTTAGTTCCTATGGCAATGAATAATTCTCTGGTATATCCCTTGTTGATGTTGCTCTTTACGCTCCCACCCATGGGTTATGGCAAATCGCATACATGGTGACCAGGTTGGTGACTCACTGTAAAAATTTAAAAAAAAAAAGTGAATTTGGAGGGAAAGAGCACTTGGATCTCTCTCCACTTGAAGATGTTTCTGAAATCATGTGAGATAACAGGTCTATTGCTGTAAATTATTAAAAAAAATTAACAAATTTAGGCCAGTATTGCTCTCTTAACTGATCTCTAGGTGTGGTCTGCAGACCCTCTAAAACTGATAATGACCCTCCAGAGAGGGAGACTGATTTAACTGCTCAGGTCCATCAGGAGTTTGTGAGATATGTTAGACAAAGGGAAAAGATATTAACAGTGGAGAGAAAACAAGATTTTGTGCATGAGGGTAAAAGGAGAAGGGAAATAATTATCTTATGGACAAGGGTCATCCTAGGGAGAGGGGGACAAGAGGTTCCTGGCACCTGCAGTCACCATTCTTCCTCTTTAACAGCCAGAGACAAAATACCTAGGCTTAAGGTAGCTAATGCCTAAAATAAAATTTTTAAAAAGTGGGGATAAAGAATCACTTTATCCAATTTGAGCCCAAGGGGGATAGCAAAAGAACATTATATTATGTAAGTGCCAGATTGAGCAAAGATAATGGTAGCTGTAGATTAGTGATTAAATATCTAATCCATAGGTATCATGAGAGAAATACAAGGAAATTAAGTAGATTATATACATTCTAGAATATGTAATTGATTTATTTTTTGATACAGATTCTCTCTATGCTGCCCGGACTAGTCTAGAACATTTGGGCTCAAGTGATTATTTGTGTCTTAGCCTCTTGAGTAGCTGGTACTGCAGGCACATGCCATCATGCTCTACTATGCATTAAGATATTTTAGTGTAAATAATATGAAATAAATTTATGGCACATTAATTTAAAAGAAGTTTCATAATTTGGTCTCATTAAATACCAAGTTTACATAAAGGGCATTATTTGGGTTTTGCTCATGCATAATGTGCCTAGCATGCACAGGGATCTGGGTTTAATGCTAAGTACCACACACACAAGAAAATTGGCACTCAATAGTCATACCTGGATATCTTCCTAAATTTAAACATTGTTCTTTTATAGCCCTACACATGTACCTTACACAACATGGAGGAAAAATTGGTATTCTTTCACTTTTAACTGTAGGGTTGACTACATTTCTTTTTGTTTTGTCTTTTTTTTTTTCCCTTCCTCAACATGGGATTGAACACAGGACCTTAACACATGCTAGACAACCACTGTACATTCCCCAACACTTGATCTTATTTTTCTTATTTTCTTACAGTAACAGTATTTTTTGCCTTAAAACATCCCTACGTATGCTCAATATATAGCAAATTAAAGTATATTCCTGTCATTTATGTTTGGTTTAACACATGAAACTCCCTGGGCCTTAATTAAGATAGTTCATATGACCCAAAATCAATTAATATATGGTCTTCAAGGATAAAATATTATAAAACCTTTCTCCACTGTTTCTCCTTTTGATCAGTCTTCATTACCTATTCTTAAATCCAGAAATAAATGAGTAAGTAAATGGTACTGATAATCAAGTACTGAAGTCTTAAATGCTGTGATTCCATTCATAAAGCTTCCTATAGTCAACTTTCAATAATATTAAGATTACTGATTCTGTGCAATAATAGTTGGTAAGTATTTTGGTTTTTTTTATACCTTGATTAATATTCCATTCATTTCCTGTTTTAACAGCTTCCCAGAAGTGGTGTGCTGTCTGGTCAGACCTTGGAAGGCTGTCCTGAGGTACCTCAACACCTTTCTTATCACACACAGTCTCTGGAGATAATACCTCCATTGTAGCCCCCTTTCTCCAGGACCACAGGTATGATACAATACTGATAATGTCTTCCTCCAGAACAACATTCAGTTGTCACACTAATGTATAATATCTTTTAGTCCTTTTTTGCTTCTGGTAGGAACATATTCCTCACTTAATAAGTTATAATTATAAATTAAAATAATCAGGGACTTTTTTACTATAGAGGCTTTAGTAACCTCTTCTAATGCCTCTGTAGTTTCTGGATCATATATGATAATCTAGTTGCCCGTAGGCTCTGATATAAGGAGTTGCCACATATCATTAAGATAAGCAAAGACTGGTTATCTGCTGGGTTCCCTGGAAATAAAAGATCTCAGAGATCCAGAGCTGTTTGTTATCTGTACTACTCCCCCTCCCCCGCCCCCGACCCCGATGTGCATTATGCTCTGGGTCATCAGTACCCACAACAGTTGTCATTGCTATTGTAGTCTTTCTAGACATCTGGAACCAAATCTAGATCTGATGTTTCACTTAAAGGAGAAAGTGTTTTCCCTCTTTTCAGTCCCTTGATAGACAATACAATACTGGAAGAAATTACCTCTTTTCTGTATCTTTGGATGCTTTAAGAACCCCTTAGGATTAATTGAGAGAATAGCACTGGAAGTTCATGGACCATATGAATGGCACTGTTGAATGTCATGCATAATTGAACTTAGAAGAATATTGCTGTTTTTCATCCTTTATCCACTGTCCCTAATAAAGGACAAAGATCCAGGAAACTGGCAAAACTTGAATTCATCTTGGTGCTAGAGTGCTGAGCAACACATTGCTTAAGATGATCTCAGGAAACAAAATAAATCTTTTATCTTTTGGGATCTTTTATCTCACAGGTAGAAAGTAAGAATCACATGCCTTTTTATTATTGAGGCCACAATACTAGATGTTAACAACAATAGCCTTTTTGGGATTACAGACATTACTGGTAATAACTAAGATAAGCTTGTTTACTTTTCAAAATAATTTATAGTTGCTAGGATTTTAGAAAATAATTTGATTGGAACTTTTATGTTCCTGGTGGGTCCTGTATAATTAGTCTAATTGACAAACACAGTGGTCTCCACAAACAATTCCTTTTAAATTAGACTAAAATGAATTATCTCCTGCATTTGTTTATCTTGTCCAGACCTGTTTTTATAAACTGTTGATCTTAACTCTGCCACATAAGAGCAAGTACCTGGAGAATACACATTCTTGATCTGCCTAAGGGCTTTTAGTTTTGTTTTCATTTTTTAATTTTTTTTTGTGTGTGGGGGTGGTGGTGTGCTTGGGATTGAACCCAGGGGTGCTCAATCACTAAGCCATAACCCTAACCCTTTTTTTTAAATTTTTTATTTTGAGGTAGGATCTTGCTTAGTTGCTTAGGGCCTCACTAAATTGCTGAGGCTGGCTTTGAATTTGCTATCCTTCTGCCTCAGCATCCTGAACTGCTGGGATTATAGGTGTCTACTACTGTACCTGGCTAGTTTTGTTTTTTCAGATGAAAGTTTATATTTAAATAGATTCCATATCAAATAAACAATACCATGACTTCTGAGAGACTCTGTTGCTAATCAGGACCCAGAGAATATACAACCTTGATCGTCATGACCTCTTGCCTTTAGTGTGGTAGGGGCAAGATAAAAATGTATAAAAATAGGTTTGGGCAAGATTTGTGATTATCTAGTCCAGACTACGAGGTGCAGACCACTAGGTGTTTCCCTTCTTGCCCTCCTGATTGTAAACTGTGGATAATCAAAACATCAGTGAGACCACATTATGTATTCCATGTAGACCTTCTGATAAGGGGCCTTCTCAGTAGGGCCTCACTGCCTGGTATATACATAAGAGTCAATTAAACTCTTATTTGGTATTGCTCCTTTGTTACTGCAAGGGGAAATCAGACATGTTTTGTCCTTATTTTTAAAATTTATTTATTTATTTTTCTAGTTTTAGTTTGTTATGATTCACAATTAAACAGTACATGTATTTTTCATATAGAACATTTTATGTCTTTTTGTGTTGTGAACTGGCTGTTTAATGTATGTAACTGCACATACTTTGTGTGTGTGCGTATAGTTAGTGCATGTAAAAATCTATTCTTAGCAACTTTCCAGTATCTAGTATATTGCTATTCATTGTAGTCACTGTGATATAAAATAAGTCTCTTGAATTTAACCCTCTTATTTAATAAATTCTGTATCCTTTCCTAGTATCTCCAAACTCCTTCCCTCCAAGTCTCTGATAACCACTATTCCACCATTTTACTGTTTCTGAGTTCAGTTTTTTTTAATCCCATTTATAATGAGGTCATTTGATATTTTTCTTTCCGCTTCTGGCTCATTTCACTTGCCATGATGCCCTCTAGGTTTATCCATGTTGTCACCAAGGAAAGATTTCCTTTTTTAAAGCTGAATAATATTCTACAGTGAGTATATATATTACATTTTCTTTTATCTATTCATTCTTTTTTGGACACTTGAATTGTTGAAATAGCTATTGTCAGTAGTGTTGCATGAATGGGAATGCAAGATGTCTGAGGTGTTCTGATTTCATATTCTTTGGAAATATACCCAGTAGAGGGATTGCTATATTAAATGGCAGTTTTATTTTCATTTTGGTACCAATGATTGAGCCACATCCCCAGTCTTTTTTTTTTTTTTTTATATTTATTTTTTAGTTATAGGTGGACATAAACAATATATTTATTTTATTTTTATGTGGTGCTGAGGATTGAACCCCAGTGCCTCACGCATGCTAGGCAAGTACTCTCTCTCTGAACCACAACCCCGGCCACCCCAGCCTTTTTTTTAAAGACAGGATCTTACTAAGTTGCTAAGGGTCTCGCTATAAGTTGCTGAGGCTGACTTGTTCTTGAAATCCTCCTGTGAGTTGCTGGGACTATAGGTTAGTGCCACCATACCTAGCTTTATTTTTAATTTGTTGAGAAACCTTTGTACTGTTTTTCAAAATGGCCATAGTAACTCATTTTGAAATTGAACTCCTTATCCTATATATAGCCTGCAGATCAATTGACGTTAAATGTATAGATGTGCTTCTGGGTACTGTGTTTTGTTTCATTATCCTGTGGGTACAATTTTATTTCACTGTATGCAATTTTGTTTCCTATAGCTTTGTGGTAGATTTTTCAAATTAATTTAGTGTGGCTCTGGCTTCATCCCACCCCCAGCAATCCCTACCCCCTCCCCGAAAATTCCTTAGGTTGTTTTGGGCATTTGAGATTTATCCCAGGGATAAATTTTACTTCCTCTTTGTGAATGATTCCATGTGCTGTGTTTTAGTATTTTGGTGAAAAATTTTATACCTGCATTAATCATAAATATTTGTCTGTAATTTTATTTTTTCATATTGTCCTTATCTGACTTTGATAACAGTAATGCTGTCCTCATAAAATGAATTTGGAGTTATTTGCTCTTCAGTATTTCAAAGGGTGCGAAAAGGATTCCTATTAGTTATTTAGACATTTTGTATGTAGAGTGCAGCTGTAAGACACTGAATCTGGGCTGTTCCTTGCTGCTAAATTAATTATTATCATCATCATTGTCACAGTGTTAATGATGACAATGGTAATAATAATTATTATTTTTATTTTGGTTGTGCTGGGGATGGAGTCCCGGCTCTGGCATACTAGGCAAATGTTCTATTTCTTTTTTCTTTTTTATTTTTTGGTGTAGATGGACACAACACAATACATTTTATGTGGTGCTGAGGATCGAACCCAGGTCCTACCCGTGCTAGGCGAGTGCTCTACCGGTGAGCCACAACCCTAGCCCCCAAATGTTCTATTTCTAGCTACACCGCGGCCCCTGGATGTTAGATTTTTGATTAGTGATTCAGTCTCCTTGCTTAACCACTTGTATTTTGTTTCTTCTTCATTTAATCTTTTTCTTTCTTTTTTGTTACTGGGGATTGAACCCAGGGGGGCTCAACTACTGAGCCCTATCCCCAGCCCTATTTTGTATTTTATTTAGAGATAGGGTCTCACTGAGTTGCTTAGGGCCTCGATAAATTGCTGAGGCTGGCTTTGAACTCACCATTCTCCTATCTTAATCTCCCTAGTTACTAGGATTATAGGCGTGCACCACCACATCCGGCCCTCTTCATTTAATCTTTTTTTTTTTTTTTTTTAATTTTTTGTAGTTGTAGATTAACAACATGCCTTTATTTTGTTTTGTTTTTATTTTTATGTGGTGCAAAGAATTGAACCCAGTGCTTCACACATGCTAGGCAAGTGCTGGGGGACTGAGCTACAGCCCCAGCCCCTCATTTAATTTTGGTAGGTTTTATTATCTAGAAATTTGTTCATTGCTGTTAGATTGCCAAATTTGTTCTGTGATTGTTTTGTATCATTGGATTCAGTTGTAAAGGCATCTCTTTCATTTCTGAGGGCTAATGTATGCTAGAAAAGTTCTTTGTTAGCCCAGTATTGTTTCTACCTCATTGTTTCTCTTTCCTGTTGAAGTACTGTATATCAGAATTTGCTGTTTTGTTACATTTCCATAAATACCTTAAGGTTTGTTTTTTTTTTTTAACTTTCTCCTTTGACCCTACATTTTTCTAATGCCCTGTCTTGGAGATCATGGGTTCTTTATTCTGTCCCTTTAGTCTGTTGTTGATGTTCTTTATTGCATCTTTTATTTTTATTTATTTTTTTTAATATGAAAGAGAAGGTTATATGAAGGAATAAGAAAAAAATAGAAGCAGAACTATTGGAAAAAACAGACCTATTGGTAATACTATAAGGTTCTTTCATAAAACCCACCAAATTATCAGGAGTTTGGCAAACTTCAATTTGGTGCTGTCCTTACAGATTTTATTTATTTATTTGATGTAGATGAACACAACACAATGTCTTTTTATTTTTTTATGTGGTGCTGAGGATCGAACCCAGGGCCCGCCCATGCTAGGCGAACACTCTACCGCTGAGCCACAATCCTAGCCCCAGATATTTTCTTGAGCAATATCTCAAGATATTGCCTTGAGCACCAAGCAGAGGTCAGAACATAGTGTTTGAGACTCTGCTGAGGCTAAGCAATAGTTGAAATGAATTCTGTTCAGGGGTGGACTTTGGAAGTTATTAGATTATGAAGGCTCTGATTTCATCAGTAGATTAATCCATTTGATGGATTAATAGTTTGAACAGACCACTAAGAAGTGGAAACTAGGCAGGTTGGGCATTGTTGAAGGAAGTTGGTTACTAGCATTGTATCCTTGAGGACTATACTCTGATCTGCCCTCCCACTTACTCCACTTCTTCCTGGCTGCCATAAGCTCAGTAGTTTTCCTTTGCATTTCCATGTTCTGCCATGATGTTCTACTCAAAGTAATGGAGCTACCTGTCTGTACTGAAACCTCTGAAACCTCTAAAACCTTGAGCCAAAGTAAACCTTTCTTCCTGTAAGTTGTTTATGTCAGGTATTCTGTCACAGCAATGAAAGGCTAACAAACACATCAGGGACCAGTTTCCAGAATCCTTTATATGGTTGTAATTTAGAATATAATGATAACCACAGAGGATTAGACTTTAGGGGCACAGTTAACCACTTCAAAGTCCTGGTTAACCATTTCCTCACTACTTGATATTAGAACAGTCATTTGTGTTTTCTGAATCTAGGTGGTTTCATCATTAGTGATTATGATAATCTTCTGGGAGAGATTGTTAGAAATAATTGAATAATAGAGTAATAATAGCTATATATAATTTAGCATATATGCATGTACATAAAAGCTGCTTGTGGTCTGGGATTGTGCCTCAGTGATAGAGCACTCGCCTAGCACGTGTGAGGCCCTGGGTTCGATCCTCAGCACCACATAAAAATAAATATTTTCTTAAAAAAAAGCTTGTGTAACTTACTGAAAATGGGGTTACTCAATAAATGGCAGTTGTTGTTACTAATCTTGTTATATGGTATACAATTTTTAGATAGATTGAGATCTGTCATTAGGAGAGAGAATGTATAATGTTTGATAATTACTAAGTATTATTTGTTGATTAATGATATCAACAGGAATCCAATAACCCTATTTAAAGAGGAGTAAGTATTGCCACTATTCACTTAGATTCATAAGTTACCTTGACGTGTCCTTGGAATCCCTGAAGAGAGTGATCACGAATATTTCAGGATCAGACTAACATGGATGTTACCAATTTGTCCCATGGTAAGTCCTGTTGCTGTTTTTCAGAAAATCTGCTTTAGGTACCCCCTGCCCAATACAAAGCCAGAGGTCTGGGACAGAACAGTCATGTTGCTAGTTTTTCACTGAGGTCCTAAAGAGGGCAAGAGAGGGCTGTTTTATGTCAGCCTCCTGGTATGTGTGTTGAGGGAAGAGATATTACATAATCTTGTTTATGACTAAAGTTGCTATGGGGAAATGAAGAATCACATTTCTGAGGGCTCAAGTTAAGAAACTTGTGAAGTGAGACCAGGATTCTTTTCTTGAAGAGCGCATGGCTTACTGTCCTTTTTTCTGAGTGTAAGTGATACAGAATTGCTGTGGCATTGTATGTTCCTAGAGATTCTGTTTGTGAATTTTCCTGAGTGTGTTCAATTGTACGGGAATTTTGAATTAGGATGGAATGATGTCATCACGTAAATGTGGGCTTCTGGTCAGATCTGGATTATCTTATTTTTCAGGAGGTCTACTACCTGTGGACCCAGTGTATAGTCATGAAGATGAGACAGAGGAAGAAAGTCTAGTGGCTGATTGCCTGAGAAATGATCAGGTATCATGAATGTTTTTCATTCTATAAACTGACATGGCTGCTTCTACCAACTATATGTATGTTTACTTACACTTACTAGTTTGCAGTATAACATTAGGATTCATTTTGACATAATTGTACAAGCATGGAACATAATTTCCTGTGATTCAGTCCCCAGTATTTTCCCTTCCATTCTTCTCCTTTCCCTTGTTCTTTTTACTTTCTTCTACTTAACTGATCTTTCTGCTCACATGATTTCTTAAGGGAAATAAAGCCTCATACAAGGACTGAGTCCCTGGTTGAATTTTTCCAGGGAATGAAGCTTTTCACATAGGTGAAGGATTACCTTGAAAATCATTACAATATTCTAGTAATTAATAAGTAATCGTGATTCCCGTGGTTCCAAATGCATGTTTCTCAATTTGCTGTCTTCTGAAAGATAAGGAAGATAAAAATGTCTTTTTCTTGAATACTTTTATTCATTTATTATTTTATCAAATGTGTGCTGTGTGCTCAGGAATAAAAGAGGAAAAAAATATAAATGGCTTTGCCTTGTGGTGAGATAAGTTCATGTTTGAGAAGTGCCATTACAGCCATATGAGTGGAGTAGATGAATAGTGAGTGACTGTGGATACAGAAAATAGTCCTTAGGGCCATTGAATGGACTAAGGGTAGGCAGTGAAGGAATTCACCTCTCTGCATAGGCATTGGTTCCACCATCCTTATTCTCCTGTGAAAATTGGTGAAGATATTACTTGGCTTAGGACATAATGTGTGTGATTATTTAGGATTCAGTGAGCATTGAGGATGTGGCTGTGGAATTCACCCAGGAGGAGTTGACTTTGGAGGACCCAACTCAGAGAAAAACACATAATGATGTGACAGTGAAGAACTGTAAGAACTTGGCCACAGTAGGTAAGACTGCCATCATTCCTTATAACCTCATACGGAATAGGTATATGCAAAGTATTTACTGTGCTGTAGGATCCATAATGTCACCTCTGTGAATGGGAACTAGCAAACACAATCTTCCCTAATACTTTTTTTTTTTCCCCTTTTTTTCACTTTGCATTATTGGGGATTGAATTTAGGGCCTTGGGCCTGCTAGGCAAGCAGCCTACCACTGAGCTACATCCCCAGCCCTCCCAATACATTCTAATCTATTGTGGCAGGTTTTTTTCCCCCTGTGTGTGATGCTATATGTTAAATCCAGGGTCTTTTTTTTTTTTTAAGAGAGAGAGAGAGAGAGAGAGAGTGTTTTAATATTTATTTTTTAGTTTTCGGCAGACATAACATCTTTTTTTGTATGTGGTGCTGAGGATCGAACCCGGGCCGCACGCATGCCAGGAGAGCATGCTACCGCTTGAGTCACATCCCCAGCCCCAAATCCAGGGTCTTACATGTGCTGTTGACATACTTAATCACTGCACTGTATCCCCAACCTACTATGGTAGTTCTTAAAATGTTGTCCAGGTCCAGGTTCAGTAGCATCATTTACTGTTGTTGAAATGTAGTCTTGATTTCCACCTTTGACATACTCAGACTCTAGTTGTCCATTGTGTCTGTCAATTCCTCCACTTAAATCTCATGCACTATAATAATTATGAGTCACTAGTTTTACTTTATTGTAAGACTTTGGGGGTCTGAGGTTACCAAACTTTGGGATAAGGCTTTGAAATAATTTCACTGCTTTCATGAGAATTATAGACCTGAATCATAGGAAGATTTATCATCTCTTTTGTGAATGCATCTTTTCCCATGTGCAGGATGTCAGACGCTTATCAAACCCAGCCCTGCATCTTCCTTGGAAGAAGAGGAAGAGTTGATGACCATGCACACAGGAGTTCTCCAAGGTGAGTGTTTGTGGAGAACAGCCCTGATCAGTGACAGATTCACTATATTTGGAAACAATAGCAAGGGAACTCAGAAGTTATCTTTAACTCCAGAATGTTTTACTTTGTGTCCCAGTGTTCTTTGAGCTCGTGAAACAACATATTATTATTACTCAGGTTCATCATTTTGATGTATGTATTTTTTTAAATATTTATTTTTTAGTGTAGTTGGACACAATATCTTTATTTCACTTATTTATTTTTACGTGGTGCTGAGCATCAGACCCAGGGTCTTGCACATGCAAGGCAAGCGCCTACCGCTGAGCCACAACCCCAGCCCAGGAAGAAAAATTTGAACATCAAATATCAAAATACATACCTCAAAATGATGACCCTAAAGAATAATAATATATGGGCTGTGGCCATAGCCTAGGGGCAGAAGAGCACTTACCTAGCACATGTGAGGGTTCAATCTTTAGCACCACATAAAAATAAACAAACAAAATAAAAAGGCATGCTGTCTATACAAAAAAATTTTAAAAATGTTTCATGAGCTCACAGAACATCAGGACAGAAAGTACAGAAGATCTGAACATCAAATACTCCCAGTTCATTTTTATTTTTATTTTTACTTTGAGACTGTCCTAAGATGCTGAGGGTCTTACTGAATTGAACTTGTGATCTTCCTGCCTCAGCCTCCCTAGTGACTGAGAATACAGGCATGCCCCACCCTGCCTGGCAAGACTTATTTTATTTTTGGTAGAAGAGATTGAACCCAGTGCACTTAACACTGCACCACATCCCCAGTTTTTATTTTGAGACAGGGTCTCACTGAGTTGTTTAGGGCCTTGCTAAGTTGCTGAGGCTGGCTTGAACTTGGTATCCTCTTGCCTCAGTCTCTTGAGCCACTGGGATTATAGGCATGCCTCATCCCAAAGATTTATTTTTAACTCCTTTAATCTGCTATTTCTTTCTTTTTCTTCTAATATACGTATATTTTTAGATATATATAGACATAATATCTTTATTTATTTTTATGTGGTGCTGAGGATCAAACCCAGTACCTCACATGTATGAGGCAAGCGCTCTACCACTGAGCCACAACCCCAGCCTTGCTATTTCTTTCTTTAAACCTAAATTATTGTTATTATTATTATTTTGGTTTGATTTCAGAATTGGATATGCAACTAAAAACCAAAGATTCAGCACTTCAGCAGAATTTTTTGACTGAACATACCTCCAGTGATATACAACTAGTAAGTTTAATAAAAGTGTATTTACTGTTTTACACATTCAGGTAAGATTGGGTACTCCATTATTGGATGTCAGGATATGGAAAGATACTTGAGAGAAACAGATTTCACACTAGAGAACACAGTGCCTTAGAACACTAACTCTGGTAATGATGAATTAGGGATATCCAAATTTGCTGTCAAACTTATTGTTTACATCCCCCAAATGACATAATAGACTGACCAGGAAGACACATTTCCTTGTAGGTAGACCTGTCTGCAGAGTTTTTCAGAGGGAAAAAGATCTATGTGAAGACTAAGGTTTTAGTTGAATTTCCCTCAGAAAGACACACTAATATTGGTGAGGGATTAACCTGAAATTTTTTCAGTATTTTTTTATTATCATGAATATTAAGTTCCCTTGTGCCTATTAGATACTTTCATTTTTTCCAGTGTTCTAACAGATAGTAAGGAAAATAAAAGTGTCTTTTTTCAAAGAATTTCTATAACTTGATTTATTGAGTCTTTGTAGTATGCTTCAGGAGTATGTTACAATGGAGAAATAAAATGAGAAAACTCCCAGTCTGTTTGTGGAGAGAGAAGTTTTATGTGTAAGAGGTACAAAAACCATATGATTGGAGTAGATCCACAGTGAATAAGTGTGAATAGAGAGGTTTCTCAGGACCTCTGAACCTGGGATAGAATATGGGAGACCTAACCATCCTATGTGAATATTGGTGTCACTTTCTCATTCACCATTGAATATTGGGTAGAGATGTTACTTGCCTCAAACCTCATGTGTGTGGTGCTTTAGGATTCGGTGACCTTTGAAGATGTGGCTGTGGACTTTACCCAGGAGGAGTGGACTTCACTGGACCCAACTCAGAGAAACCTTTATAAAGATGTGATGCTGGAGAACTTCCAGAACTTGTCTACAGTAGGTAAGACTGCCATCATTTTTTTGTAGCCTCTCAGAAATAGGAAAATATTTTGTAATATATTTTGTAATTTGTAATAACTGCATTCCAGGATTAGTGGTATCAGCTAGAATACAGTGGTATGATGGAAAGTAATAGAGACCCAGTCCCTTAATCTACTATGATTATTCTCAACCAGATATCTTTAGGATCAATAGCATCACTATCATTGTATTAGAGAAATATACCTTCTAGGGATGGGGTTGTGGCGCAATGGTACAGTGCTTTGCCTGGCACGTGTGAGGCACTGGGTTTGATCCTCAGCACCGCATAAAAATAAATAAAGTTATTTATCCATCTACAACTAAAAACAAAATATTTTTTAAAAAGTCCCTTTTGAGATTTTGTCTTTGTCGCTCATGTTTTAACAATTCTTCAACATGAAATCTGAACTTAATAATGTAGAGTGGAATTTTATTACTTTTATTACTTTAAAAAATTTTTAGTTTTACATGGACATAATACCTTTATTTAATTTATTTATATGCAATGCTGATAATTGAACCCAGTGCCTCACACATACTAGGCAAGTGTTCTACCACTAAGCCACATCCCCAGCCCCTGGAATTAAAAAAAGCAATCTGAACTTAGGAACCACTGTTGCAATGTTTTTGTTTGAGAATGAGGACCTTTCTGCGCTTCTATTATATCCTTGTGAAAGAAATGTCTTGGTGGGTTTTTGATATTAGTTAAACAGCACAATATTTATTTAATGCCTAAGACATTAGGAGTATTACACTTTTTCAGTGGTTTCTATATGAGTGAAGACCAAATGAGGATTTTAGGGATCAGACAAAACTGATCTCTTTAGGACTCCCAAAGCATGAGTATTTTATTTTGAGCTGTTTAGAAATAATTGAAATCCTTTTCATAAAAATGTAGTTTACTGGCCAGGCATGGTGGCACAAGCCTGTTATCCTAGTAGCTTAGGAGTCTTGAGACAGGAGAATTGAGAGTTCAAAGCCAGCCTCAGCAACAGCGAAATGCTAACCAACTCAGTGAGACCCTGTCTCTAAATAAAATACAGAAAATAGAACTGGGGATGTGGCTTCATGGTTGAGTGCTCCTGAGTTAATCCCTGGTACCAAAAAAGGAAAAAAAAAATGTTAACTTATCATAGGAAGGTTTATCACACATGAGTGTCATCCATTAATGTATCATTCCCTGTGTATAGGACGTCAGCTGTTGAAACCCAGCCTGATTTCTTGGTTGGAGGAAGAAGTGCAGTTGACAATAGTAGAACGAGGCATTCTTCAAGGTAAGTATTTATAAAAAATATTTTGTGTCATTTATAAGCTTTGAAGTATGAGGAAACTTCTTAAAAAATACCTTCAGGGGCTGGGGCTGTAGCTCAGTGGTAGAGTGCTTGCCTAGCATGTGTGAGGCACTCGGTTCGATCCTCAGCACCACATAAAATAAACAAATAAAATAAAGGCATTCTGTCCATCTACAACTACAAAAAAAAAAAGATTTAAAAAAAAAATACCTTCAATTTGAAAACTGAGGTTCTTGGACTTGTAAGTTCTGGGTTATCTTCAACTTCCCATGCTCCCTTAGTCCCTTACTTTGTCCAGCCTTTTTTTCCTTTCCTTTGTACTGGGGATTGAGACCAAGGTGACTTTACCACTGAGCTACATATCCCTCTTTTTTATTTTGAGACAGAGTCTCACTAAGTTGCTTAGAGCCCCTCTAAGTTGCTGAGGGAGGCCTCTAACTTAGAATTATCCTTCCTCAGCTTCTGGAGTTCCTGGGATTGCAGGTATGTGCCACCACATCTAGGGAGTATATGGTGTTTTTGGTTGCACATGTTTCCTGCTTTCCTTCTCTGATATTTAATTCTGTTCATTACATCTAATTTTTTTTATCTTTATTTTTGTCTATTTATTTATTTATTAGTTGTAGTTGGGCACAATACCTTTATTTTAGTTATTTATCTTTATGCGGTAGCTGAGGATCAAACCCAGGACCTCGCACGTGCTAGGCAAGTGCTCTTCCGCTGAGCCACAAATCCAGCCCCTTAATTTTTTTAGATTTAATTTTTGTAGGACAAATTGTTAATAAATTTCTATATATTGGTCCTATATCCTTATGATTGCCAAATTTTAGACAGGTCATCTACTCAAACTTAACATGTTTAATATGAATACAATTGAGATTTATTATTTTCTTTCAAAACCTTGTATGTTTTTCTTTTTTACTGCAGAATGGGAGATGCACCTTCAAACCAAAGGGACAGCACTTCAGCAGGATGTGTTTTGGTCAGATACATCAAATGGGATACAGCTGGTAAGATTCAAAGAGATATTTCTTAATTTCCAAGTTCAGGGCAGATTGGGAATTCCATGATGGAAGTCAGCACAAATGAGAGATAATTTGAACTAGGTAGTCTTTACCAATCACAGTTTCTCTGGAGAGATGCCCTAAACTTAGTGTAATACTTGGTTCTTCAGAGTTCCTGCAAGTTCACATTCTTGTCAAAGATTGAAAAATCTTTTAATCTTCATTCATCTTTTTATGAATAGGCAAGAAGCCACAATGGAGAAGAACACTGTGACTCTAAGCAAGTTGGAAAAGTTTTTAGTGAACACTCATTCCTTCAGACATATGCAAGTACTCCTAATAAAGAGAACACTTCAGAGTGTAATACCTATGGAAAAAACTTCCTTCCATTGCTCAACAACACCTCTACTGAAGAAAGACGTTCTATGTTGAACCAGTGTGTAAAACCTTTTACCTTGACTCCAGATGTTTACCAGAAAAAATTTACTGATGATAAATCCTTTGAATGCAGTGACTGTGGGAAAACCTTTGTTAATGAGACACATCTTCAGGCACATAGCAGAATTCACAATGGAGAAAATATCTACAAATTGGAACAGTGTGGGAAAACTTCTACTAATTCCACAAGCCCCGATGGGTGTGTTGAAATGCCCACTGTAAAAAAATACTATGAATGTAAGAAATGTGAAAAATTCTTTACACATCCTCTTTACCTTAATATTCATATGCAAAACCACACTGTGGAGAAACCTTACGATTGTAAGGAATGTGGGAAAGCCTTCACCAAGCGCTCAAGCTTAATTGTACATTTACGAGAACACACTCGGGAAAAGTCCTATGAGTGCAAGGAATGTGGGAAAGCCTTCCTTCAACCCTCACGCCTTGCTGAACATATGAGAAGTCACACAGGAGAGAAACCCTTTCAGTGTGAACAATGTGGAAACGCCTTTGCCTCTTCATCTTATCTTACTACACATTTGAGAACTCACACTGGAGAAAAGCCCTTTGAGTGTGACATATGTGGGAAAGCATTTACACGTTCCTCTTACCTGGTGGGTCACATACGAACTCACACTGGGGAGAAACCATATGAATGTAAAGTATGTGGGAAAGCCTTCAGTGGGCGTTCATGGCTTACTATACACTTACGAAACCATACTGGGGAGAAGCCCTATGGATGTACAGAGTGTCAGAAAGCCTTCACCAGCTTTGCTCAACTTACTGAACATACAAAAACTCACACTGGCGAGAAACCCTTTCAGTGTAAGGTATGTGCAAGAACCTTTAGAAATTCCTCCTGCCTTAAGACCCACTTTCGAATTCACACTGGAATAAAACCCTACAAATGTAATTACTGTGGGAAAGACTTCACTGCACGCTCAGGCCTCACTAAGCATGTACTAACACACAATGGGGAGAAGCCATATGATTGCAAGGAATGTGGGAAAGCCTTCAGTACATCTTCAGCCCTTGTTGAACATATAAGAATTCATACAGGAGAGAAGCCCTTTGAATGTTACCACTGTGGTAAAGCCTTGGCTCATTCCTCATCTCTTGTTGGACATTTGAGAACTCACACTGGAGAGAAGCCCTTTGAGTGTAACATGTGTGAGAAAGCATTTTCAACTTCATCCCACCTTCGCATTCACATGCGAACTCACACTGGAGAGAAACCTTATGAATGTAAGGAATGTGGGAAAACCTTCCCTGAACGCTCATGCCTTACTAAGCACTTAAGAACACATACTGGGGAGAGACCCTATGAATGTAAGGAATGTGGGAAGGCGTTCACTAGCTTTTCTCAACTTAATGTGCACATAAAAACTCACAGTAGTGAGAAGCCCTTTCAGTGTAAGGTATGCACAAAATCATTTAGAAATTCTTCATCCCTTGAGACCCACTTTCGAATTCACACTGGAATAAAACCCTATAAATGCAATTATTGTGGAAAGGACTTTACTGCACGCTCAGGCCTTACTATACATCTACGAAATCACACTGGGGAGAAATCATATGCATGCCAGGAATGTGGGAAAGCCTTCACTACTTCCTCAGGCCTTATTGCACACATAAGGAGTCATAAGGGGGAGAAACCCTTCGAATGTGACCACTGTGGGAAAGCCTTTGCTTCTTCCTCGTATCTTAATGTCCATTTGAAAATTCATACTGGAGAAAAGCTCTTTCAGTGTACGGTGTGTGGAAAAACATTTACATGTTCTTCTTACCTTCCGGTCCACATGCGAACTCATACTGGTGAGAAGCCCTTTCAGTGTATAATATGTGGAAAGTCATTTCTGTGGTCCTCTTATCTTCGGGTTCACATGCGAATCCACACTGGAGAGAAACCCTATGTATGTAAGTACTGTGGAAAAGCCTTTACCGAGCATTCAGGCCTTAATAAACATTTGCGAAAACACACTGGAGAGAAACCATATGAATATAAGGAATGTGAGGATCCCTTCATTAGTTCTTCTGACATTAATGAACAGGAAAACTCTTTGAATGTAAGGAATTCAGAAAATCTTTTTGGAAGTCCTCTTGATCCTTAGTAATTGCAGTTGAATTCATAGTTGAGAAAACTCTTGGATATGAGCAGTGTATAAAAGTGTTGTTGTTCATTTCAAAGACAAACTTATTCTGAGGATATACCATGAATTTAAGAACATGGGCGAGTCGTCATTTATAATCTCAGTCCAGTATGTAAGAACTCATGTAAGCTATGTAGAATAAGAAACATGCTAACCCTGTAGTATTTCTTTGAGTCTTACTAAATATGCAAGATATCACAATAAAATGTTCTAAGAGTGAAAACAGCATTCTGAGAGGTTCAGTGTTGACCTGTGTCTCACAGTGGGAAAAAGCTTCATGAAAGTCAGAAATGTTGGGAAGTTTATTTGTATTATTTAACCTTGAGTGAAATGATGTTTTAAATGGAACAGAAACCATGTGTATGTAATATGGGATAAGCTTCACTGTGTTCTAAAATCTTGTATGGTTATAAACATGGCTTTCTGAGTGGTTCTATAGATAAATTTTGAATATTCCAAGCATTTCAATATTTGTTTATTTTTATGACTTCAATTATAAATTTCTAATTTCCACTATAGTTTTCTGCTTTAAAGTATCTTTAATATGAATGAAACTATTGTCTATATTTAAGATCTACCACCTGATGTGCCATATGCTTAAAAATTGTGAGACGATGAATATACAGATTTAATAGATCCATCACCACATGGTTTTTCATTATGTTCTAGAAACACTTTCTATTGTTTTAAATTTCAAGTATACTCTACATGAGTTTTAACTTAAATCACCATGTTTTATATTAAGCTTTCAAGTACTTACAAATGAAAGTTTTTACCTTTGACCATTATCTCTCCTTTTGTCCTAAAACCAGTATCTGGTAATTGGTACTCCATTCTCTGTTTTAAGTTCAACTTTAGATTCCACTTGTGAGATTGTGCAGTATTTGTCTTACTATAACTTCTTTCACCTTGCATAATGTCATCAAGGTCAAACTGGGTTATGATATATGATGGAATTCCTACTTTATGGCAAATTATTTAAGACCATGTTTTCTCCATTCATCTGTCAGGAGATATGACATTATTTCCCTACTTCACTCCCACGAGCATTGCTGCAGTGAACAGGAGTGCAGCTTTTAAATTAGTGATTTTATTTCCTTAAGCCCAGAGGTGGATTTGTTGTATTATATGGTAGTTGAATTTTTGGGAGGAGGGCACTCAACCACTGAGCCACATCCCCAGCCCTATTTTTTATTTTACTTAGAGATAGGGTCTCACTGAGTTGCTTAGTGCCTCGCTTTTGCCAAGGTTGGCTTTGAACTCACAAGTCCTCCTGCTTCAGCCTCCTGAGCTGCTGGGATTACAGGCATGTGCCTGGCCTGGTAGTTGTATTTTAATTTTATGAGAAACTACCTTACCTTATATGACTATACCAATTTCAGTTCCCAGCAACAATGTAGAAATGTTCTTTTTCCTCTATCATCTAAGCTATTGTATCTTTTGATGTTTTTCTGAACTGTCCTTAAGTGATTTTTATTTCCCTAATGTTCACTGATTTGGAGTGTCTTTTCATATACCCACAAGCCAATTGTCTTGTCTTTGGGAAAATATCTATTGAGTTTTTTGTTAAGTTTAAAATTGGGATATTTTGGTTTTTGCTACAAAATTACTTAAGTATTCAAGATATCAACCCATTATCTCATTTGTAAACATGGTTTACAAATATTTTCTCCCGTTGAATATGTTGCCTTTTTATTTATGGGTGTTTTTGCTTTGGTTTGTGAAATCTCTTGTAGTTCTAGTTGTTTGTTTTTGATGCCTCTGCTTTTTCTTGTTAACTCCAAATTTCACTGCCAAGGTAAACATCAGGATGCTTTTCTTCTACATTTTCTTCTAGAGGTTTTATGGTTTCACATCCTTACTTTTATTTTTTTTTAATGGTCCAGTTCTGTTTTTTTTGCTTATGTATATATAAACAGCTTTCTCAATACTATTTATTTGAAAGAGTATCTTTTTCATATTTGGTAATTTTATTGAAAATTAGTTGATGATATGTGTGTTTTCTGAGCTTTCTCATTTGTTCCACTGGTCTGTGTGTCAGCTTTTATGCCAGTACCATACTGTTTCTTTTATTGCACCTTTGTAATAATGATTTAAAGTTTGGAATTTCTGTTCTTGTTCAAGAATCTTGCTTTTCTGACTTTGTTTTCTCAGCTTATAGTTGCTGATGAATTTAGAAAATTTTTTTTTCATAATCCTGTGAACAATGCTATTGGAAGTTTGAAGGGATGAAATTAAAATCTCCCAATTCATAAGCAAAAATATTTTCCCTTTCGTTTGGGACTGTTTAATTTTTTTCATAATGTCATAGTTTTTTGTGTTTAAATCTTTTCCTGTTTAAATTTGTTCTGAAATATGTTTTCATTTTTTATACTCTTGTAAATAGGATTTGAAATTTTTCATATTGTTATTTTTAGAGTGTAGATATAATAATGATTTTCCTAGATTAACATTGAATCCTGCAACTTGTGAATTTATTTATTCTGTTTTTTTTTTTTTTCCCATGAAGTATTGTCCTTTTCCACAAACAATTTTTAGTACTTTTCTGATTTGGATGTCTTCCATTTTTCTTGGCTAATTTGTTCTGACTAGACTTTTCCCATTATTATATTAAATAGAAATGGGAAGAGTAGGCATCTTGTCTGTTCTTGATCGTTTTTAAAAAATCCGTGAGCTTCTTCCCATTGTGTGTAATGATATTTGTTTAGGACTTCAATTATAAATTTCTAATTTCCACTATAGTTTTCTGCTTTAAAGTATCTTTAATATGAATGTGGCTTTGTCCATAGCCATTATGTATAAGTACATTTCTTTTATGTCTAACTTATTGAGAATTGTTATCATGAAATGATGTTTTATGTTATAACGTGATGTTTTTCCAATGATATAATTTGTCCTTCATTTTGCTAATGTGATGTATCGCATTTATTGATTTACATGTGTTAAACCATTTTTGCATCCCAAGGATAAATCACTCTATCATGGTGTGTATGTTCCTTTTAATGTTTAATTTTAGTGTGAATGAATGACTGAATTTACCCATCAAAATACCTAGATTGTCTTATTGAATAATACTTTTTCAAAAGACATCTTTGGGCTATCTATGAGAGAGTCCATCTTTTCTTTAATATATTTTTTTTAGTTGTTTGTGGACCTTCATTTTTTTTAATTTATATGCGGTGTTGAGAATTGAACTCAGTGTCTCAGCTTCACACATGCTAAGCAAGCGCTTCCTTTGTCGTTTAAAAGAACATAAGTTGACTGAAAATGAGGGGATGGAAAAATCTCTCTTAGAAATGGAAACCAAGGGCTGGGGATGTAGCTCAGTGGTAGAGCCTTTGCCTAGCATGTGTGAGGCACTGGGTTCAGTCTTCAGCACCGCATAAAAATAAATAAATAAAATAAAGGTATTGTGTCCATTTTCACCTTAAAAAAAAAGAAGTGGAAATCAAGCAAGAGTATGTATAGATGTACTTACAGGGGATAAACCGATAATGATCACTTCATCAAAAAGATATAACATTTCTAAGTATATGTGAACCCAACAGTATAGCATTCAAATAAGAAAGGCAAATATTAACAGGTGTAGAAAGAAATAGTAATACATGGGCTGGGGTTATGGCTCAGTGGCCGAGTGCTTGTAGCACATGTGAGGCACTGGGTTTGATCCTCAGCACCACATAAAAATAAATAAAGGTAATAAAGGTATTGTGTCTAAAAAATTTAAAAAAGAAAAACAATACAGTGTGTGTAGGGAATTCAATACCTCATACATCTAGCCTGAAAATCATTAAGGAAACATTGTGCATTTTAGACCAAATGGACCTAATATTCCATTCAAAAGCAAAAGAATACTGTTATTTTAAGTGCAAAAGGGAGCCTTAAATGGTAGGTTATACGTTAGGCCATACAATTTTACATTTTTCACCTTTGTCTGGACCACCATTGAACATTTAATTCTGTAGTGCATTAATGACATTTTCAAAGTCCCCACTAACCTACTTACTGGGAACTGTATGTCTGTTTACACATAATTTGATAAATTTTGAGTATACTTAAGTGACGTATGATTTGTCTTTTTGTTGCATTTTTCTTTGAATGGTTCATTTTTCCATTACTTTTCTTGGCTGGAAGTTATGTACTTGATTTCCCTAAAATATTTGTAGTACTCCTTTCTCATAAATTATACAGCCTCACCCCGTGCACATGAGAATTAAACTCAGTTACCATTGAGCTTCTTCTCCAACTCTATTTTTTTTAGACAAGTTCTTCGTAAGTTCTAAAGGTCTGGGAATATAGGTGTGTGCACTGTTCCTTCTGGTATATACAGCTTTTAACAGTCATTTATGTAATAACCTTGTGCTGAGTGACACTAGAATAAGGAGCTACATAGTAGTCCAGAATCTCACAAGGTGAGAGTGTAAACCCAGAGGAATGGATATAACATTAGCATACAAAGTGACAGATACATATGAGAAAGGGCCATATTTTGATGAAATGTTCTGAAAGCTGGATATGGTAGCTCACACCTGTAATTCCAATTACTCAGGAGACTGAGGTGGGTGGATCACAAGTTTGAGGCCAGCCTGGGCAACTTAGACCTTGTCTCAAAAGAAAGTGTTCTTCGCAGAATTTTTGCAGCGTTTCCCCTTGAGGTCAAGTCTGTTCTTGCTTTGGTTTTTGGCAGGTCTTTTAAAAGTTTTTGTATTGTGTATTGAGTCCTGGTTCTTTTGTGCATGCTAGGCAAGCACCGTATCACTGAATCACTCCAGCCTTAAAAAAAATTTTTTAAAATATTTATTTATTTATTTTTTAGTTTTCGGCGGACACAACATCTTTGTTTGTATGTGGTGCTGAGGATCGAACCCGGGCCGCACGCATGCCAGGCGAGCGTGCTACCTCTTGAGTCACATCCCCAGCCCTAAATTTTTAAAATTTTTAGGATAGAGTATTGCCAAGTTGTTCGGACTGGCTTAGAACTTAGAATTCTCCTTCGTTAACCTCCCAAGTAACTGGGGTTACAGAAGTGAGCTAGTGTGCTCAGCTAGTGGAATAGAGCACTCAGGTATTTTTACTCTTAACATAAAGAGAACAGGGCTGGGGTTGTCATTCAGTGGTAAAGCATGTGCTTTGCATAAGTGAAATTCTGGGTTTGATCCCCAACATCATAAGAAAACAAAGAAACCATACCCGTCTCACAGGCCCACATGTGGGCTTATTTTCTAGTGAATTTCTGCTAATGATCTCACACAGCTCTAATTAAGGTATTGGTTTGATTTCAATTGCATATGGCTTTAAGTAAGGGAGAATCAGAGTTTAAGTATCAAAAAGTGGACATCATTGTCACTTTCAGAGACTTCTTGCCTACTAGATGCTATTTTTAACCTATTGGATTTTGGAGATTTATTTATTTGGTGATACTCATTAGTCTTTGCTAGTCAAACATTAGCAAAGCTGCAAAG